TTACTGCTGTGTGGAAGGGATGTCCATTCATTAGTGATTTAACTCTGGGGAAAACAAGAAATAAGAGATAATTTCACCAATCAGAGTTGAGGTTTTGACCAATCAGCTCAGCACTAATAACTGGAAAATTACCTATTAAAGGTATTTGCTGTACCTTTTCAGAATTATTGTATATGCTTAAACCGCGGTTTTATTTTTCCTTTTCAGTTCTAACCTCACATGGCGTGATGTTCAGCATTTGATAGCTTACTCATCAAATTATGATGTGCCTCGTTCTGATGACTGGCTGCAGAATTCAGCAGGGCTGTGGGGTGAGTCTAAAGTGTGTCCGAACCTAAGGTTTGCATGGATACTGCATCATAGCTAGCCTGCTCCTCCTTAAGTTGGGGATCATCATGAGAATGGCTATTTAAAAAAAAAACAATCCCATTCACACTACTCTGTGACTAACTGAACTCGTGGAACAGGCCACCGTATGTGCCACACCTTAAATTTATTGGTGTGGTGGAGAGATAAGATTATTCAGCATGTTGAAGATCAATTTTCCCACAGCTGCATCTCTGGAAACATTGGAAAATGTGGTGGTGAAGTAAACTTGCTCATAAAGAAGTGTGTTTAAACAGGTTGCCTTAAAATTTAATTGCAAGAGTTCGAGTCATTGAATGTCTCAGTTTCTTTGTGATCCACCTTTTATTTTCTTTCACATTTTTTATTTTTATTTGAGTCACCAGCATGTTATTTGTCTTATCCTAACCTTAACCTCTTTCCTTCCCAAGACTCCAGTCACTCCAAAGAAGTTCGGGCGTTCATTGTAGAAATCCATTGCATGAGGGGAGTCCAGGCAGTCATTTTACGCCTACACTCAAAGCGCTCAGTGGATTCTGCCCACACATAAAATCCTTTTTTGACCTCTGGGCCCAACCCTTATCAGTGATCAGTCCTCAGTGTACTCCAAATCACAAATGAAACGTCTTTTTATAGTTTATCTTGGCCTCTGTAGCATGGGGTGGCTTAAGGTATTGCTACTCCCCCTGGATAGGATGC